ACAGCTCCAGATGCTCTAGAGATGTCATTCGATCCATACTCTGTGGAAGGTCCCTGAGCATTGTGCAATTTCTAAGGACCAACACACGGAGGTTAGACAGAGAGCAGAGGGATTCAGAAATCGAAGAAAGACCTCCGCAACTTCTGATGCTTAGAGTCTTGAGAGAAACGAGGCCTGATACCGCGCTTGGAAGGGATTCGATTTCAGCACAATACAAGAGCTCAAGAACTTGAAGCGAAGGAAGTTGAAAGAAGGAATCCGGTAATTCCAAAGACGCGTTGTCATGTGCGTAAAACTCTCGGAGGTTCTGAAGCTGACTGACGGTATGAGGAAGTGTTTGTAACATGACCAGTTTATAAATGCCGAGTTTGACCAACGACTTCAGGCAACCAAAGGAGTCGGCAATCGATCAAACGTCCCGGAATTTGTTGACAACTGCAGCTCGGTAAGGCAGGTGAGGTGGCCGAGTGATTCTGGGAGGTGTTCGCTCCACACATCGTTGAGTGTCAGCTTAGTCAGGGATCTTAGCTCGTCGAATTTGTCGGGAATTTCATAGAAGTTGACGTTGAGATTGACCTCCGTCAGGGATGAAAGGTTGAAGAAGGATGCTGGCATATCACAAGTGTCTTCGTAGTAAACTGTCTTCATGGTAAGGGAGAGGTACTGCAAGGCAGTGCAGCCAGTAAAAAGGGCATCTGCACCTTCATAGGTCAACCCTGGATCATAACCGTTGTTTAGGTCAAGGTAAATCCTAGGGCACAGAGGAATTCGTCATTGTCCTTGTCGAGAACGCACTTATTAATCGTGAGAGAAGTTAGGTGTCTGAACCGGGAAAGAGAGTCCAGAAGGGCAGCGTCTGCAGTAAGGCGAGGCGGACTGCTAACGATGGACGTCTGTGCAAGGTAAGCGATGCGATTCCAACGCTTACAGACCAGCGCATGACTGAAGTACCTGGGTGACTGCTTGTTCAGACAACGGAAGATGAGGCAAATGAGGTTGCGAGGTAACTGATTTAACGACACTCGCAACTTGATTATACGGGGACGCGATACCAGGGTTTGGGACGATGGATCTGTTCCGAATTGCGACATTGTTCGCACGTTGCAGCGAGCTACGGTGAGCTAAAGCGATTAAGAAACTAGAGCCATTCGAACGTTGGTGTGAAGTGTGGTGAAGTAGAGCAACTGGAAACTAGATGCAGGCAGGTATGGCAGACTAGAGCGATGAATACTAGCCTAGATCTGGAGGGAGCTTGTTTTCCCTTCTCGGAGTTGGCTGGCCTTTGCCCTGCTGGGCTTTGTTAGGTTTCGCTAGGTTTCGTTGCAAGAGAATTGGCTGGCGGATGAGAACCTTGCGATGGTCCAGCGAAATTTGTTTTCTCTAATGTGACAATTTCGTTCAGCCCATTGCGACTGTTTTGTCTCGACGCCGAAGCCGAAGGCTCGTCGCAAAGCCAAATCAGTCCTCGCAGAGAAGGCGTTCCTATAGGTCGAGGTTGAGAGGCATGGTAACACAGTGAACGGAAACAAGTAGCTAGTCTGAACTCAGCTAGCTCCTCGCCATGAATGATGTACAGTTCAATGGTTTCTGCGACTCATCACTCACATTCCGAATACCTCATTGCGCCAGACGCGCTTGCGCAGATAGGTGTTATAGTTTACGCGTCTCCAGGCATAGGTGTTATAGTAAACGCGTCGCTGGTGCAGTGACTCGAATTTTTGTCACCACCTGCGATGTGGTTACCAATAACGTATAGCAGGCCTTTTTCGCTTTCACCGCAACTCGCAGATTCGTCAGTGATTATTCGAAGTCACGTTTTCCTTTCTGCGTTGATAAGCGTCGTCTGAAATACTCCACGAGAAAGAGAAAATTTTATGCGGCTCAATTAGCTTCTCAAGTCCCAAATGATTTCTTTCCTGCTTCCATGGTCGAGCACCAGGAGATTCCGTCGTCTCAGCGAGCCTTTTCCTTTCGTCTGTCCTCTCTTGTTTCTAGCGCCTCCGCTTTGCCTTTTTGTCAACGTCTGGTGTTTGAAGTTGGGAATTGTTATTGCCAACTTCGCTCCTCACCCTGTACTCTCTCCCCTTTGCTCCCCCTCACACCTCTCTTCTCTCCCCCTATTCTCCGCCCTTCCCTTCCGCCATCCAGACTACGCCTTGGCTCACAACGCATGTCATGACTCGGCTATTGTCAGCCTCGTCCCTCACCCTCCACCCTTCCGTCTCTTCTGTCCTGTTCCCTCCGCCCGTCCATTCGTGTGCTCGGCATTGCCACGTCATTCTTTGCCACTATGTGACGTGTGAAGCTGCCACACGCAACGCTTGAGGCCTGGTGGGTGCACCGTGCCTCTTCCTCTATAAGGTTCTTCATTCTTTGCTAAAAGCGTCTCATGCCTTTGTTTGTGGAACGTCTGTGGCTGAAGTATCTGTGGCTCTAAATTATAACGACTTACGAATAGCCGCAACTCTGTTCTTCACATCGCATACCCTGTCGCAAATATTATCACTTCGCAATTCACCGTTGTTTCTTTTCTAAAACTCATCACTACACTCTCCCCTATTTCCCCCTGTTCCCTTCCTTCCCCCCCCCCCCCCCCCCCCCCCTCTTCCCCCCACCACTTCCCCGTCCCCCCTTCCCCCACCCCCCCTTTCCCTCTAATGGCCCTTTCATTGATAGTCAAAGAGTACAGACATGCAAGGTATAAGTCATCGCAAAGGTGGGGCTAGTACCGCATATACATCAATCCACTCATCCGAACTACACCCTCTAAGTGAGATCCAGTGCTGGATCAAGGACCGAGAGGCAGTCCCCAAGGGACGGGGCCTCCCCCACTGCTTCTAGTAGCGGGTTTTCAACTGCTGCCGCTATGTTGCACTTTTCCAGGTACCCAATTGACTGCCCACGTTGAAGAGCCACCGACCACCGCTGCCTATATTGGTGTAAGAGCTTGGCAGCTTGGTAGGAGGTGGGCTCGGCGTTGAAAAACCGCCGTGCAGCCGTCTCTGCGAGTAGCTTCAGGAAGTCTACCGACTCTGGGCAGGGACACCCGTATGTCTCGACCGCTAGTGGGAAGAACTTCACCCACTCAGGGCGGTCCTTGTAAAGGCCATGCTTCTTATCCGCTGCCTCCCTTGCCGCCCACCCCCTCCCCTTAGTGGCGTTCTCATCGCGGGTGCTGATGGGGTCTGTTACCGTCACATCGCAGATGTAGACGGCTCCAGTGGAGCGGCAGCGTAAGGCCAAGTCTGCCTTCTTCTCCTCCACTGGGCTGAAGGCGGCTGTCTCGACGTGCACCATGAAGCCCGCGTCTTGCGCCATCCGTGCGCACTCATCTCTGAGCTCATTGTGCGTGTTTGTGCGCCCCCCCCCTGTTCCGCATCGTAGCAGGTGATTCGGCAGCCGCTTATCCAGGATCTCCACCTTCTTGGAGCAGTTGCAAACCCCAGGAGCCGCAAAGGGGAGGCCCAGCCGAAACTGGAGCGCGTTGGCATAGTGGGGGGCCTCAAGGCGGAGCGAGGAGTGGATGGGCACGGCATTTAACCAGTCCCCCGCCCCGTACCCTGACAGGGACAGCATCCGCTGCGTGTGACCATTGTTGGGGTTCGGGCTCATCCCCCGCACCTCCTCCACCTGCACGGCGTAGCGCTGGCCCTGGATAGCCGTGGCCAGCCCATGCTGTAGTTTCCCTGCTGTTGGTGCCGCTCTCTCAGCCTGAAGAGCTTCTTGGGCTGGAAGCGGCAGTTCCCCTTCACAGTCCGCAAGCCATTCGGACAGGGGGGAGGACTCGGTGTAGGGGCCACGCATCAGCTCGCGCGTGACTTCCAGTGGGCCACTGCACTCGCTGTCCAGGGAGTCAAGCAGCAGCTGCGCCTGCGTGTAGCTGGCGAGGAAGCTGTAGCTTCCCTCGACAGATGGGTCCGTCAATCCAAGGCCACCAAGCGACACGGGGAGTGAGGCTTGCGCCCACGTGCGTGAAATCTCCTCGTCCCCCCGGGGGTGGATGATGCCGCATGCTGATAGTAATGTTTCCAGCAGCCTTCTTCCCCACTCAGACCATTCCTCCTTTGGCAGGTAAGGCAGTGGGGTTGTGCGGGCTAAATATGACACTCGGCGGGAGATACACCGGGAAAGCAGCAGTCCCGCCAGCTGCGGCTCCATCCGCTCAATCAATCCCAGCGGAGCGCCCATCGCCTCCAGGCTGGACCGTACGAAGGCAGTGGTTGCCGTGGAGGTGCCAATGTAGCTGCCCAGCACCTTCAATCCGTCGCTGCTGGGAGGAACCCCCTCTGGCAGGCGGAAGTCCGTGGGCATCCTGCCTGCCCAAGCCCCGCACTTGGAAGGATTGTGGCTGAGCCCGATTTCAGCCAAGCGGCCCGTGAAGTGTGTAAAAGCAGCTGCGCATGAGGATGGTTCTCCCAGGAAGGTCACATCGTCCGCGTAGGCCAGGCAGATGACCTCGGGGTGGGCTTCCGCTGCTGCTCTCAAAGCTGGTTGCATCGCTGCGGCAAAAAGGAGGGGGCCGAGGGGATCTCCCTGGCGGACCCCTGTTTCACTGAGCAGAGGTGGGTGGTCGAAGGCTGCATCCAGATGCAGCGTGGAGGGTTGGCCGTACGAGAAGTGCACCAACGGCAGCAGCGGTTCTAGCTGCGATCCTTTCAAGGCCGTCGCTATGGCGTGGCGGCTGACACTGTTGAACGCGTTCGCCAGGTCAGCCTGTAACACCAGTGCGTCCTGGTTGGCCGCTGTGTAGGTACGGACGACATGTATGACTGCTTCAGCTCCTCCTGGCACGGCCACTCTGAACTGTAGAGGTAAGAAATACTCTCGTGCTGCATCCGCTACCTGGGTAAGAGCTGCCTTGGCTGCTAAACGCAGGATGCACTCGCCTATGGCAATCGGCCTCGTTCCTCCATCCGGCTTGTCGAGGGCTATCAAGTGCGAGGCTGTAAGAAGCTTCCCTACGTCCTGGTGCAGCTTCCCTCTCAGGATTGTGTTAACCAATGCATGAAGGTGAGAACCAACCGTGGCGTGCAGCAGGGCAGCTTCGCGCAGGTGCTCGAATGTTGTCCCTGAGGGACCTGCACCTACCCCATTCTCACATTTCGAGAGCAGCTTCAGGAAAGTTTCCCGCGATACTGCCAGGTAAGAATCTGGCTCGGGCTGGGGCCAAGGTGTGTCAGAGCGCGGGGCACTAGGGTGCTTGGCGCGGAGGGATTCCAGCACCGCCGGAGAGGGCTGGCTGACTGGGGTGGCTTCCAGTGCCATGACAGCTCTCCGTAAGCTGCCACGTCGCGCCAGTCCTTCTGCCCTAGATATTACCCCCAGGTCGTCCGGCTGGTGTCTGGGAGGGGGAGGGGAATCCAACGAATCAACCGTTTCCTGGTACAGTGCCTCCCATTCCCCTCGCAGGAATTTACGCAATCTTTCCCTGGTCGCCTTCCAGTCAGGGTGCCTCGGCGAAAGCTGACGAAGCGTCAGACGAGCCGCAAACAGCAGAATCGTCCAAGCTGGGATGGAGTCTGGGTCGCGTGCGAGTCGAAGCTGTGGTGTCAGCATCACTATTGCGAAAAGTAGGCGCAGTTTTTCTGGCAGGCGACGTGCCAGTGGAGCGTTGCGACTGTCGCGCAGCTTATCCAGATTCCATGTACTGACATTCGCGAATAATGTGTCGTCCTTGGCGAGGGCCTCTGGCGATTTTTGGGGGGGTGGCTGTGGCTGCTGTTGGTTACCCCTCGCTGCTGTTCGTGGTGCATGTGCAGGTGACGATGTCAGGTTCGGTTGGGCGGGATTGTTGGCAGTGGTGGCAGGGGGGCGGGAAGCGGTTTGAATCTGTGGTGAGTGTCGCGGCTGGGTGGGCGTGTTTCTGAAATTTGTTGACGCGCCTCGGGCACGGGTTGAGCTGATTCTCCCCCGAGCTGGAGTTTGTGACTGGGCCTCCTCCGAGGCATTCGGACTTGAAGGTGAGCCTGCTTCTTCCTCCTCCGCTTCATAAATGCTTCCCGATAACTCGCTTACTTCAGTAGTTCTAACTAATTCGGTTAAAGCCCTTCTCGCCGCTGCCTGGAACGCATTCTCCGGACCCCCTTCTCGAGAGCCCCTGCCACGTCCGCGACCTCCGGCTCGTCCCCCACGCGTCCGCGCACTGGCCGCGGCCAACTGGGGAGTTTCGCGACCACCTAATCCCGCGTTCTGACGCGACCGTGCGTCCTCGATCGCCTGCTGCCGACGCGTTCGCCGTAATGGCGACTGAAGCGGAGAAGTCAGCGGTGGACCAAGGTCACACCGCTGAGAGTGCGATTGCTCCGCCTCCGGCCCCTGCTGCCGCTGTTGCTGTTGCTGCTCCTCCCCTACTCCCCCCGGCTCCCCCTGCTGTTGTTGCGACGTCCGCGGCTCCGCTTCCGCTGTCGCCGGCTCCCCCGCTGAGCCTTCCGCACGCTGTTCCCGTGTCCGGCGCGCCGGTTCCCGTTGCGCAGCCGTTGCCTGTGGCGCAGCCCCCCGCCCAAGCTGTCGCTAGGGGCCCTGCGCTGGGGACAGCGGTGGGCGCCGGCCCCGATTCTGCCCACTTGGTTGCCCCTGCGGCTGCGCCGGTGAATCCCGTCGCGCAGCGGCTCGCGGAGTCCCAGATACGCGCTGCCGTGGGGGCCAATGCAGCTGCGCATCGGGGGCGAGGTTCTCCTCGTCGTCGCCCCTCCTCGTCGTATCGGTCGGCGCACCGCGGAGGCCGCGGTGGCTGGTGGGGAGGTCACGGTCGCGGGCGCGGTGGGCCAAGCGAGATGCAGCAGCTCCGCGAGGATTTCCCGGGGATGTTAGCTGCGGCGATGCGCAACGCCCTGAATGGCGCACCGAATCTTGGTAGCTCCCCGGCTCCCGCCGCTCCTGCGCCCGCGCCTGTTCCCGTGAATGCGCAGGTTCCGGCCGCGCCCCTTGCTGCATCTGCTCCGCACGAATCTGCATACCCACGGGCTCCTGCTCCTGGCGGAGACCGTGCTCCGCCTGCCTACGTTCGCCCTGTGTCTGCCTCGCAGTATCCGCCCCTGCCCTGGATTCCCCCTCTTCCGGACACGGGATTTGTGGGAGCGGGAGGCGGAGCGGCGAGGGGAGCCTTCGTTCCTCCGCGTCGTTTTGCTGAAGCTCCATCCGTGCAGCCTCCGCCCCCTCTTCCTGTTCCGCCTGCCGCGTTGCGGACCGGAGTGGCTCAAGTTCCCACGGCGACCCTAGCGCAGCTGTGGCGCTTGGTGGAGTGCCAGCAGGCCCTGACACTGATTCTGGTGAATGCGCACTTCGCCATTCTCCAGAGCCCAGGGAGCACTCTCGATCGTGAGGCTCGAGGAGATTGCTTGGCGGCGGCTGCGCAGCTTGCCTTCCTCCTCCTACCCTTGCTGGGAGCGCCCGCGATGGGAGGCGTTGCGGTTTCTGAACTGAACGGAACGGTCCAGGGTCTGACCGCACACCTCCAGGCTGGTGGCGGGATTGAAGCCGTAGGCGCGACCGCGTTAGTGGTCCAGCAACTGTGGAGGACCATGCGTGGTATCCTCGCGGCGCTGGACGCCCATCTGATGTAGTTTCCGGCGCCCTCCGCGCGTAGACCCTTTGCATCATTTGAGCTAGTAGCTGGGCTCGTGGCCCATCGCTGTCTTGTGTCGTGTGCTTATTGCTTTTCTTGCTGCTAATCCTTGCCACCCCAAAGCACGCGGCCGAAGGCCGCGCAACGCGAGCGCTGGCGGCCGCAGGCCGCCGGCGCGAGCGCCTACGAAAAACTGGAAACTGAATGAACTAATGAACTAAAGAGGCCCCTACGGGACCCTTATATAGCCTGGAGGCAAGGGACAGAGGCAAGGGACAGAGGCTAAGTCCTCTCTCTCTCTCGCTCGCGAGCGCCTACGAAAAACTGGAAACTGAATGAACTAATGAACTAAAGAGGCCCCTACGGGACCCTTATATAGCCTGGAGGCAAGGGACAGAGGCAAGGGACAGAGGCAAGGGACAGAGGCTAAGTCCTCTCTCTCTCTCGCTCGCGAGCGCCTTTCCCTCTCTCTCCCAGTGCATGCATAGCAGCAGGTCGCCCAGACACGCCTGTTGTTCAGGGCGCCACAGCACCGCTCTCTACCGCGCCAAACCCAGCAGTATGACCACTTCCCTGCAGCCGCTTCACTCTTGCGCCTTCCCTTACCGCCCCCCTTTCCCAACCCCTACCGGACATCCTGTTCTTGCTCTCAACCTCGCTTCTGAATTCTCAAACGCAGCTCTCTTACCTTTCCTCCCGCATCCCACCTACCATATATCCCTGTTCTTGCAGGAGGTGGTGAGCAGGCGAGGTCAGATCAGCATGGTGCAGCAGCTGGGAGGGCCCATGACCAACCTCGCCCGGGTGAGTGCCTGCAGAAGTGCTTGACTCCTTGCCCCTTGTTGCATGCACCCCATATCCTCCCTCCACTCCCTCACTTCCCTCTCCTCCATATCTTCCCTCACCTCCCTTCCCTTGCTGTGCCGCTCGTCCCCCGAACACCCCATGTCATTGCTCTTTCAGAGTCCCTCCCTAGTGTCCGAGGTTGCTGCAGTCTGAATGACGGCAGTAGACGGGAGCATGACGACTGTAGGATGGCAGTGGGAACAGGACGCATGAGGAAACAACACTGCCTGGATGAGAGAGGTAAACCGTCAAGAGCGATGCCAACACGTTTATGTTACTGAAGCTGCTGCACGTATGTCAGGAGAAGTTAGCATAAATGATGCATTTTTATGTGTGTCCCATAATTATTTCCTCTCTCACCCATTCCCCCACCCCCCTCTCCCCCCTTCAAACCCTTGTCTCTCTGCTTTCCTGCACTCGAATCTCCTTTCCTATAACCAGGCATGGGCAAGGACAAGGCGAATGTCAGAGGGAGATGGCACAAATGCTATGCGATTGAGATTGCAACTGGCATGGCATGGTACGCATTGGCTCACATGCCCCCTCCCAAATTGCACTTTCCTGTGTTGGTGAGGTTGGGGAAGGAGAATGGTAGGTGATGCAAGGAGGTGAGAGGTGGGTGAAGAAGTGGTTTCATGACTGAAGGAGGGAGAAGGGGAAGGCCCGAGATAGCATGTGCCATGCCATCATTCCATACGCCATGTCAGCATTCCATACGCCATGTCAGCATTCCATACGCCATGTCATCATTCCATACGCCATGTCATCATTCCATACGCCATGTCATCATTCCATACGCCATGTCATCATTCCATACGCCATGCCATCATTCCATACGCCATGTCATCATTCCATACGCCATGTCATCATTCCATACGCCATGTCATCATTCCATACGCCATGTCAGCATTCCATACGCCATGTCAGCATTCCATACGCCATGTCATCATTCCATACGCCATGTCATCATTCCATACGCCATGTCAGCATTCCATACGCCATGTCAGCATTCTAGACGCCACATCATCATCCCGTATGCTGTGTGATACACTCAACTCCCTCGAGTCCTTCTTCCTTGCTTCACAATCACCTTCAGCATCAGCTTTCTTGGACCACGGCAGATGCTTCAGCATTCTTGGAGGCCAATTCCTTCTTGAATCAGGCCAGGACTCACCAGATGCCTCACTCCACCACTCTGCACCTCCACTGAATCATTCCCCTCATAGCATCATCTGCTGTAAGTATTCTTACCGTCGACACCTCGCCTTTCTTCCTTCCGCTCCCAGCTTTCTTTCCCCACCCTTTTACTGTTTATCCATACCTCCACTTTATCCATCCGTTCCTCTTCTTACCCTCTCAGTGCCATAATTAGAATCAGTCATATTGAGTCCTTGTCACATTCAGAAGTTCTAGCTGACTTTTGAGTCGACTCGAAAGTCATAATGAGTCCTTGTCGCATTCAGGAGTCGCAAACACTCCCTGTCGCATTTTTCCTCCCTTCCCCGTTCTCCCCGTTAACCTTCTGTACCATAAGTCTGGCTTCATATCCCATGCGCCATGTCATCAGTGTTGTCTCACCTCGCTCAATTCTCACCCACCTCTCACACCCCCTTCCCTTCATCTCTCCCTTGCCCTCTCCACCCACTGCACCTCTCACACCCCCTTCCCTTCACCGTGAGCACCATCATTACCAATGAGTCTTGCGCCATAGTACATGTGCCATGTCTGCCATCTCACCACGCCAAACCCCACCTACCACATCAACTTCCCTCTCACACCCGTTTCCCTTCATCTCTCCCTTGCCCTCTCTGCCACTGCCCCAATAATCCAGCTGCTGCAGGCCCACTGGAGAATGCACTGCATAAGCTGAAGGCACGGCATGTCGTGACACAGGCGCGGTGCACAAGGAGAAGGCACGGCATGGATGATGGCCCAGTAGCCTGCGTGGCCTGGTAGTGTGTCAGCTGCTTATGAAAACAGCCGGCACAGACACGGCTGCATGGCAGCTGGTGCAGCAGGCAGTGCAGCCACAGGGATTCCAACTCCACTCGTGGAAGATGGGCGCCTGGTGGACTGCCAGAGGTCTCCCTCTCGTTAAGAAACAGATTTAGAGACAGGAATGCGAACGAGCATGAATGGCATACGTTGCAATCTTGCAAGGTGCAAGTGCTAGCCTGAGTCCTCAGCAGTAGTGCTCATCAGTGAAAGTGCTGCCAAACATGGAAGGATCGCCTAACTTGTGAGCGGGTGGCGTGCAGTGATGGCAGGTGTGGTCGCACAAAGTCGGTGGACGTGTTGGACGTGTTGGACGTGTTTGGACTTAGAGATTCTTTCAAATATAGCTGCAAAAATGCAACATGCTAGTAGAGTGAACACCATAAGCACAAATTATCATAGAACAGTGTAGAGTTGGAAACATAGCAAAGACTTTGTGCTTCCCACTACTGATATCAAGACCATCTCCTAATGGAAAAGATGACCAATCCTGTGCAAGCTTATCTAAAACCAGGTAAAATCTCTAGCATATCCAAACACACCGGCACCCCACCCTATCCCATCCATTCACCCCTTTCCCCCAAATGATCCATTTCCCAACAGACTACCGTCAACACATCCGCTCGCCAGGTTTGGAATCTTGAGGATTGTCTCATCCTCAAAGCGTGGGCATGCAGTGATCACGAGATTCCTGAGGGCGGTGAGACTGCTCATGGAATCGGGCAAGCACGCTAAGTTAGGCCATGAAGTTAAAGTCAGCCGCTGCAGCCTTGATAGATTCTTCATCTCGTGTGGAAGCCAAGATAGGTCGCGAAGGCCAGAAAGCAGGAGCGTTGACAGATTCGAGAGATGACAAATAGACGACAAGAAAGCTAGTTGATCCTCCTTGCCGACCAGGCAGCTGGGTGGCCAACCGAACTCAAGAGACGTGAGGCTGCTCCAATGCTGAGGCAGGGATGGAGAGATTATCTCGATGTTGTCGCAGTAGTTGAAAGAGAAGGAGCGCAGATTGGAGAGCTGGGAGATGGTATCTGGAAGGTGAGTAAGGCTTATGAGTTGGCTCAGCTCGAGATGCTCCAGCGACAACATGCGATCCATTCTCTGTGGAAGGTCCGTGAGCCTTGGGCAATTCTTCAAGATCAACACGCGGAGGTTAGAAAGAGTGCAGAGGGAGTCAGAAATCGAAATGAAACGACCACATCTTTTGATAACTAGCGTCTTGAGAGAAACGAGGCCTGACACTGCGCTTGGAAGCGAGTCAAAACCTTCACAAGACACGATCTCAAGAACTTGTAGAGAAGCAAGATGGAAAATAGAATCCGGCAGTGTTAGACGGAAATTGTCATGTAAGTAAAACTCTTGGAGGTTCTGAAGCTGGCTGATGGAGTCCGGAAGAGTTCTCAACCCGTCCAGTTCACTAATGCTAAGCCTGACCAATGTCTCCAGATCACCAATGGAGTCAGGCAAACCGTCCAACGCTCCGGGATTTCTCAACAATTGCAGCTCGGTCAGCCTGGTGAGCTGGCCGAGGGAATTTGGAAGGTGGTCACCCCACATTGAGGCTAGAGTCAGATTGGTCAGGGAACTTAAATGGTCGAATCTATCAGGAAAAACCTTGAAGTTGACTCTAAGATTGGCTTCCGTCAAGGATGAAAGGTCGAAAAAGGATGGTGGCATATCACAAGTGCCTTGGTAGTAAGCTGTCTTAATGTTCAAGGAGAGATACTCTAACGCGGTGCATGTTCTAAAGAGGGCATCCGCACCTTCATACGTGAACCCTTTCTGATAACCGTTGTTCAGGTTCAGACGGGTCAACTTGGGGCAGGCAGATCCTAGGCCATGGAGGAACTCCTCATCTGGATCTAAGACGCACTGGTTGATCGTGAGAGAAGTCAGGCGTTTGAACCGGGAGAGGGAAGTCAGAAGGTCATAATTTGCATTGACGCAATGCGAGTTGACGATGGACGTCTGTGTAAGGTAAGCGAGGCGATTCCAACGTTTACAGACCAACGCGTGATTGAAGTAGCTGGGTGACAGCTTGTTCAGACAACGGAAAATGAGGTAGATGAGCTCGTCCGGGAAGCGACTAAACGACACGACTCTATGGCAACGCGAAGTCAGGGTTAAGGACATTGTTCGCACGTTGCTGCGATTAGA